ACGTGTGTCTAGGTCGGGTAGAGACGTATGTTTGCTTGGTTTTTTAGATCTCGGTCGGCTGTTGGTTCCGAGGTCAGATGAGTGCACCGAGGTCGGGTGATTGATGACGTCATGATAGGACGTCGGTGTGTTGAGATCGAATGAAGACGTCGGTGATGATGGGATCTCGACAAAGCAAGATCGGTCCTGACAACTGAGAGGTCGAGAATCCAGCGGGGAAGTCGGCAATTGATTGGAACTTTATCAGCAGAGGTCAGACCTCGGTAACTAAGGTAGGTCTCCGAATGAATTCTTGAAACCAGATTTACCGAGATCGAATTGACGGCCAAGTCGGCCTTACAGACGATATCGGTTTTCGGTGGGAGCTTGTTGCGATGTCGGATGCCGGAGAGCCGACGTCGGTTCTGAGAAGTCAAGGTCGGGCCCTGGTCTATTGAAGTCGGGCTTGGTGTTGTTGATGTCGGCTCGTTCCCTACTTGAAGAGACGTGACTGAAGTCGGCGATGTCGGAGACGGTGATTAGGTCGGGACCTCAGAAAAGGTGATGTCGGTTGCTTCGGAGGTCATCCATGACTGAGTTGGGCTTAAAGATGGTGAAGTTGGCCGGAAATTGCGAGGTCGGCCATTGTTGTGTGAAGTCGGATATCCGTCGAGGTCGGTCGTGGTGTTTAAGGTGATATTGGAGAGCCGAGGTACGCCGACGTGGTGTAGTCAGGTTGTCTGAGGGTCGGCCCCATAAACGATGAAGAGGGCTCGAGTCGGTCTCGTTGGCAGTAATGAGTTGAGGATGCCGAGGTCCGCTGGTTGAAGTCGGCGTCGGCTCCAGCTCGCGAGGTTGGCCCGGCGGTGATGTCGGGCCCTAGTGACTGAGTTGGAGTTGGCGAGGTCGGCTCCGGCTGATTTGTACACCTCGACGGTCGATCATAAAAGATGAAGTCGGTTATCATGAGGTCAGATTGATCGAAGTCAGTCCGGGGACGTCGAAGTTGGGCCCGGTCTGTTGTAAAGTCAGTTCTGACTGTCAGAAGTGAAGTTGATTCTGATGGCTCGTGATGTCGGTTATCCGATCCCGAGTTGAAGTCGAAACCAATGATTTTGATCAGGCCGAAAGCGATAACAGGGCGGCGTGGCTAATTCTTAGTCAAGCTTACCTTTTTCTCCTGTCACCATCTGCAACCTTTCTTCTTCGTGTGTGCGTTTTTTTTTTTTGTCCGTTTGCGTAACAGGCGAACTTAGGAAGATTAAAATTTTAGAGATAAGAGTAAACAAAAAGGCGGTGGCAATACGATACACAGAAAAGCCGCAACAAAATTTTATTACCTTCAACAAAGGCTTATTGATGGGAGAAAGAAAGAAACTTATGCAGAATCACAAGGGATATTCATGAACTTTTGAAGGACAGAGTACTGAATATAGCAAAATTAGAATATGATTATGAAAAATCTCATCTTGGAGTAATCATTTTTCAGGGTAGAGATGTGGTCGTATAGCAGCGAAGATTAACTCCGAATCAATTACGGAGCCCTCCTTCTAGCGCCAAACTGTTGTTATGCGAAATTGTAACAACAAAAATATACACCCCTATTCCGTGAATAATTGGTGTAAGATAAATATGATTTTTTAGTGATTTTTGGGAGATGAAAATCTATCCATTTTTCTTATGTTTTGGTGTTGATCAATGATAAAGAATTGAAGAAGAAAATCTTTATTTCTTGTGTGTTGAAAAGATTCTCCAAGAAGAAGAAGCAGTAGAGAGGCGGTGCCTCTGTTTTTGATAAGGGAAAGGAGAGTGAAAAAACCTCTCTGACTTATCTCTTTAGCCCATATATATATCTTTATATATGGTCCCGTATATCTAATGGGCTTTTACAGTACACATGTAATTAATAAAACATGACCGCGCAGTGCCTAATAATAAATATGAACGCGCAGGGCCTAATAATAAATATGACCACGCAGGGTCTAATAATTGGATTGACTGGCACTTCGACTTGCATGTGTCTTGTGAACAATTTGACGTGTCTGTCAAAGTAGCTTCTTTGAGATATCTGGGTCGAGCTGGCGTCATTGAATTTTGATTGGTTTTGGATGTAGACCATCTTGACTTTTGGGAACTCGGTCAATATAAATCAGATAAAAGAACCTGCTATTTTATATTTATTTAATATATATATTCACGTGTAATATTTTAATAGGCGAGGCCAAAATTGGGTAACAACAGGGGTCCCCTGGTAACTCCTTGTAGCGTCGAGCTCAATTACACCTTTCCTTCACTTTGCTTCGCTTCGTTTCGTTTGTTCAGCTGAGATTATTTAAAAACCTTGACGTCGAGCGTATATTTGAGACCTTTTTTGCCAGTAGATATGCTTAAGTCCATTCGGATTCTCCTGGCTCTAGCCGCTCATATGGATTATAAGGTCTGGAAGATGTATGTCAAGACGACTTTCCTTAATGGAAACCTTCAGGAGGACATCTATATGTAGTAACCAGATGAATTTATTGCTAAAGGTCGTGAGCATCTAGTGTGTAAGCTTAATCGGTCTAGATATGGACTGAAGTAACCTTCGAGATCTTGGAACATCCGATTCGATGAGGTGATCCAATCGTACGAGTTCACTCAATGTCCGGATGTGCACTGCGTGTACAAGAAAATTAGTGGGAGCGTGGTGGTGTTTCTTGTTACGTAGATGACATCCTCATTATTGGAAACAGTAAGAAGGAGTTGTTAGATGTAAAGGTGTGGATGTCTAAGCAGTTTGACATAAAGGACTTAGGTGAAGCAGGACACATTCTTGGTATTAGCGTCTTTCAAGACCGTAAAAAGAGAATGATGTGCTTATCTCAGTCTTCAAACATAGATATTGTCTTGGCTAGATTTAACATGCAGGATTCCAAGAAAGGTATGTTGCCTTTCAGACATGGAATCCCTCGTTTAAACGTCTCAAGAGATAGAGGACATGAAGACAGTCTTTATGCTTCGGCAGTAGAAAGTCTCATGTATGCTATGTTGTGTATGAGGCTGGATATTAGCTAAGCCGTTGGCATGGTAGTTAGATATCAAAGTAATCCGAGAATTAAACATTGGTTTGCGGTGAAGCATATACTCAAGTACCTGGGAATGACTAAGCAGTACATGTTAGTTTACCGTGTAGACATCTTGTTACATATGGGTTACAGTGATTCCGACTTCCAGTCGGATAGGGACGAGATTAAGTCAACCTCAGGTTATGTATTTACCATGAGAGGTGGAGCCATTTCATGGAGGACTGATAAGCATAAATGTGTGGCAGACTCCACTATGGAAGTCGACTACATAGCAACCTCAAAGGCAGCGAAAAGAGGCAGTTTGGCTCATAAACTTCTTAGGGGACTTAGAGGTGATTCCGAGTTTGCCACGTAGTATCACCATGTACTGTGATAACATTGGAGCAGTAACGAACTCAAGAGAACCACGAGCCCACAGAGCAAGTAAAGACATAGAGTGCAAGTACCATCTCATACGAGATATAGTTGGTAGAGGAGACGTTGATGTTTTCAAGATTGCATCAAATGACAACCTAGCTGATCCTTTTAGCATATATGCGAGTTTTATTAATGTCATGATTATTATCAATATTATGTTGAGTTTCTATGGAGTACCATGATTATGTACTCACATCCCATTAAATTATGACATTTTAAGGGAATGGAGTTGAGCGTGCAAGCTGAGCTAAAGTGGAAGTGGTCAAATCTAAATGACAAATAAATGATATTTTTATGTTCTGTAATCAATAATGACTCAGGACGAACTAAGTTTACGTCTCCAATACCTTTAATTTTTATATCGTTGAATACTACATGATTCAGTATTTCATTATATCAATCTATCCATAAGATTTAAGGTTTTTAAATAAATATTCGACGATAAAGATTTTATTTATGGTGCGCACGGGCCGACACCAACATGAATAAGACGAGCCCCGACGACCAGACAATAGTGTGCAACTTTGAGGAGCTATGATAAGCGATCTAAGAGACGACTAGACGACTCGACAAGGACGTGAAGAGAGGAACGTGGGCTAGAGGACGCGTCTCAGAACGTTTGCCCGACCCCGTAGGCCGTGCATGTCTGTACAGAGTAGGAAAAATTTTGAGCCATAAATCTTGATCCTATTTATAATTAAATTCCGTTGCGTTAGGATTTGTATTTAATAGAATTAGATGTGCACATCGTCGACATTCTTTATAGAACACAACAATTTATCACATAATTTATTTCTCACTTTATCAATCATCTTCGCATGTCTGTCCCGTAGTTTATCGCATGATTCGTTTCTCAATGAGATAATAAATTTTCCTCTTTAATTAGTGTGCCCGACAATGGGGACCAAAGACTGATTTTCGTTTTCATCCATGTGACCATGGGGACCAAGCTGATTTTTGTTTTCATCCTTGACATGCATAGACAAGACTCATCATTGTCACAATTTTAATCAAAGAAAAAATAAGAAT